AAATGAATAAACAATTTTGAAGAATTGTTGTTAAATAATGCCAGAAAATGTAGATCAAGTACAAGATTAAATGTTTATTTTATTTTTAGAATATAATTAAACTCTTATCATCATTGGGTTTATTTTAATGTAGCTTGGAAATATAACAAGATTGTTTGAGATGAACTTGATCCTAATTTAGAACTCAAACATTTGTTTTGTCCCATGAGAAGCCTTTTCACACTCCTGCTAGACCACTTAAGTTACAGGGCAAACCTGTTCAATATCTGTTTACCTCAGACCTGTTGGCCTCAACACCTCCAAGGATGGTTATGTCTCACTGTGTATTCTCAACCCCAATGCATTGCCTTTTAGATGACAGCTCTTCCTGTAAGCTGGAGCTGTGGTCCCCTCCATTGAGCTGGAGCTGTGGTCTCCTGTGAGCTAGAGCTGTGGTCTCCTCCAGTAAGCTGGAGCTATAGTCCCTTCCTGTGAGCTGGAGCTGTGATCCCCGCCCATGAGCTAGAGCTATGGTTCCCTTCCTGTGAGCTGGAGTCACAGTCCCCTCCTGTGAGCTGGAGTTGTGCTCCCCTCCTGTGAGCTGGAGCTGTGGACCCCTCCTGTGAGCTCGAGCTGTGGTCCCTCCAGTGAAACAGAGCTATGGTTCCCCTCTAGCGCTCTGGAGCTATGGCCCCCTCCTATGAGAGGTAACTGTGATACCCTCATAATAATATGGACTCCCAGTCCCAGGAGGGATGATCAGAATGAACTGTGCTGGATCAGGTGCTCACTCACTGTTGAAGATTAATGCATCTTTCAACTCTCACCAAGAGAAGTTTCCTTATGCAGCAGATGGTGATTGCACGGCTTTCTAATGTGAGGGGAGAAAGGGGCTGCAGAGCCCTTATCTCTAGGTGGGATGCCTCTGTCAGGCTTCAGGAGCTCAGGATTTGGGAATCATTGCAGAGGAGGAGGTAGAGGGATTGTAAGAGCCAGATGTAGTGGATGACCATGGTGGGGGGGGGCAGAGTTCTCCAGACAGCTGACCAGTTACTCATATGAACTCACAGCAATATTGACAGCATGCACAAGTCCTATGCAAGCTTGAGAAGTGAACCCACGTTGGAGAATATTTGGGGGTTCAAGTTAGATTCTATAGGCTTTATTACCCAGAGCGAATACATTGAATTACATGTTTGGGGGATGGGGAATGTAGGGAGATGTGGATGGGAGAGGGGATATAAATGTCATCAAATTATCTGGAAATCACAAAAATTCAATAAAAATGATAAAAAATAAATAAATAAAAGATAGCCGGGCGTGGTGGCGCATGCCTTTAATCCCAGCACTTGCAGGCAGATCGCAAGCAATGTCTGTGCCTACTGCCTGCTGGAGCCTGTAGTCCCAGCATTTGGGAGGCAGAGGCAGGCGGATTTCTATGAGTTCAAGGCCAGCCTGGTCTACACAGTGAGTTCCAGGACAGCTTGGGCTACAGGGAGACCCTGTCTCAAAAAAACCAAAAAAAAAAAAAAAAAAGATAAGAGTTCTTGAATGGATGGATGGCAAATGGTTTTTATTAAGGCATTTCTCTGCTGCTTGGTACTCTGATTTCTGCCTTAATTCGTGTTTATAAATAATCAGTAATACTGGATATTAAAGACATTTGCATGGGCATTTTGAAGAAAAAGTATTGTTAGTTGCACTCTGGCCTGATGTGCAGCGCTAGTCCTATGTAGACATCTGGGAATATGGAAGAACTGGAGCTTGTACTTGAAAACTGGCAACCTCTTGATATTCTCAGGACCATCAGAGTCCTAACACCTCAATAGAGGGACACAGGTTTAGAAATCAAATGGCCCAGGTCTGCATGAGGCTCTGCATGCCTCATGCATGGAATGTTCCTCCCTGACCTGCTACCTATGTGATGCCCTGTTGTCCTTCAGTCACCATGTAACCTTCATATCCTCAGCCTCACCTGTCTCAACTGTTCTCTGATTTCTCTGGTTCCCTAGTCTGAGCTTTCATGGGATTGATTGTGTGTGATTGCTTTACTAACAGCATCCCTGATTAGGCTCTAACTTTCACAAAGGCAGGGGCATATCTGTTCATCTCCCCACAGTATCCCCTGCACTTAACACAGGCAAAAACTGAGTTCTACTTAAACCGGAGGAATTGGTGAACTGTAGTGAACCCTGGGCATGAGATTCCATTTTTCTAATTTGCTTAAAACCTGTATCTTAGCATTTAATAAGGTTATTGTTAAACTACATTAGCTCCTGGATTAGCGCCTCACACCTTTTTACTCATAATAGTTATTCACATTCGTGTTTGGCAATTCAAATGGTACAAAATGGAGGAATAGTCAGTCCTTCATGTGAGATAACAGATATTAAAAATTCCTTGCTTTCACCTGTACAGTAAGAGCTGAATACGCTATAACATCACAGAATCCAGCAGGTTAATAGTGGGTGTGGTCAGCTCCCTTGCTTCCAGTCCCGATGAATCAGCTTTCATACTTCAGTTTTGGGATACTTGATGCTTCTTAACACAGAACTGTCCTGGGGGATGCCACTAGAACAGGTGGAGCCAAAGCCTTAGGCTATAAAGTCTGTTATGACCTCCTCATGTGTATTTTTAGCTAGTCCATGGAGAGATTTTATTATTCTTGGTGGGCCTTTGAAAGTTTTCATTCTAGGATTTGAAATTCATTTTCAAGGATTATTTAATAGAGTAATGGTAAGCCAGGTTGGATAATCCAAGGATATCTGAATTTATAAGTATTTTAATAAATTGATATTTGCTAAAGACTCCCAGTATAAAAAGCACCTTATGTGTAGAGTTCAATTCAACTGGTTGAGGGAAATCATTGAAGGGATGAGGTGTTGCCAAGTAGGATTTTTGAGTTTGAATGGAAATTTGTACAATTAATTCTAACTGTGGAAAGGTAGAATTATCTAAGCATGGGCACTTCAATCCCTGAAAAATTTTATTCTCAATAAAAAATGGATAGTCATATATTTGTCCACTAATCTGACTATAGGAAAAAAAGTCTACCTTTGCACATCCTTTAGATCTTAATCCCAAAGAAAATGTGGGAGAGGTTATTATATTGCCAAGTTGTTGGAGAGAGGGAGAGACATGAGATCTTAAACTCAAAGAAAATGTGGGAGAGGTGATTATATAGCCAAGTGTTGGGAGAGAGGGAGAGAGAGAGGGAGAGAAGAGGGGAGAGAGAGAGAGAGAGAGAGAGAGAGAGAGAGAGAGAGAGAGAGAAACAAGAAAGCAAACACACACACATGTTCTTGTGACAGCTGTTTGGTGCCCAAGAGTGTTCAGGAAGAAGTTCATGTGATTTTGTTTGAGAAGTCAGTATGCTAAAACTGTGCCTCTATCTGTAAGTTGCAGCAGTTGAACTACAGCATTAACTGAGGTCTGTGGGGAAGCTGGTTTTGGTCATGGGTAACAGGTAATGGAGGGTCATACTGTCATCACCTTGAATGGAAATGTGGTAGAGTGGGAGAAGATAAGGGAGGAGTGGGGACAGGTTCACACTGCCTCCTGACACAGCTCTTGAAGTGGCTCAGGGCCAAACATTGGAGACTGAGTGAGGTCCACATTATAGACTGTTCCCATCTTGCTGGCAGAACCACAGCTGTTTACTGACAACTGGTTACTTAAGAAGGCAACTTGTGCCAGGTGGAATCCCTATGCTCTGAAGTCTAACGGACTCAAACATTAAGGAGGTTTAAGCAAGCCTGGGTTGGAATTTGCCAAGATGATGGGTATTATCTCTTTACTATTAAGCAGCAGAATACAAGCTAAGTACTAGAATAGTACTCAATGCTATGCATGTGTCCACACACTCAGGTGTCACCACTGCTTAGGTGATTAGCTTGCAGGACTCACTCCATCTCCTCTATGCTTCCCTAAGGAACATTTGCTAATTCTTACTCTCCAAGGAGGAGCCAAGATGAGACAGGTAATGTAGCAAAGGTCCCTTTGCACCTCTGTCTTCCACCTGCTCATCCTTATGTAACATTGAAAGGATGATAGCCATCTGCCCGGATCTAATTCCTGAAGTTGTGTCCATGTTCCTTCTATTTTCCATAATATATCAGTGATTAGTTACTTCTCCCATCACTGTGGTACAATCCCATGAAAGAAGCAGTGCAAAGGAGGAAGAATTCATTTTAGCTCATGGTTTGGGGGGATACAGTCCATCTTGGTCAATAGTGTATGGCTGCTGGAGTTTGCCACATCTGGGCAGATCAGGAGGCAGAGAGAGGGATCAGCCAGAAGTAAGGCAGGCCATAGCCCATAATCCCACCCTCCTAGTGACTCACTCCTCCAGCCAGGTCCCATTTCTAAAGGTTCCATGCCTTATGAAACAGCATCACTAGCTGGGGATCGAGTATTCAAATGTATATGAGTGTCATTTCACCCTCATACTACAACATGTTAGGAATAATGTGCTAGTAATTTAGTGAATATTTATTATGTGGTGAACATTGTACACAATCACTTCAAATACTTATAAATCAACAAAATAGACATTTTTGACCCATTTTACATATAAGGCTCAAAATAGCAGTGCTAGTAATTAGCAGAGCTAGGACTTAAAGTCCTATCAAGTTTCAAAGTGCATGTTCTTTCTAAAAATAATAGTAGTGGTTATAATAAAGTTTAACAATAGTTATATAATATATAGTAAATCTTATAATAAACAGCAAGGTAATGTTATCTACTGAAGAAAAATTGAGTATGGGAACTGAAGATCAGAAAATTTAAGTAACTTGTCTATATTATTTAGCAAATAATAGATTTCAAATTTGAACCCATTTGATCTGGTCACAAAGACTTATTTATACCCCATTGGCAACAATGTCTTCTGGGGTTTATGGCCATGGTGCTCCAAACTAGGTAAAACCAAGGTGGAGACTTTGGGCAGTGTAGCTCAGAAGAGCTGAGAATAATGTAAATTGTGGGTAAAGCAAATCTCACTTTCTAGTTTTCCTTTCTAGGTACAAGCCCCATCTGGAGCAACCAGCAAGTCTTCCAGTATGAGTACCACAGATGCCAAGGTAAAGGACATTCACTCATCAACTTGAGAGTGAATGCACTTCAAGTTAGTTTATATGGCATTTTGATATGTGAGCAATCTACTTGTTGAAAAATCAAGAGTTACTTACCTTTCTCAGGAAGTTCACATTATGGAAGTCAGAATTTTCTTCATGATTTATGAGAACTTTTGGAAATTATCCTTTAGAAACATTTACAGTGTCTTAGATTATCTAAAAAAAGAGTGGCTACTTGGAGCTTTGGGGAAGTTTTTCCTTTGATTAAGAAGGAAGAAGTATGTTCTCTAGTGGAATTGTTACATAGGATAATCCTAGTTTTGACAGATGAGTGAGGCTGCCTTAAAACCTCTGCCTAGTGGCTGTGCCTCAAGCAGTTTCTTATACGTATTTCTAAGGGTAGTAATTAAAGAGGAGGCATTTTCAAAATGTTCTCAACCCATTTGTGTGTATCAATATGTTTTAGTGCTTTAAGAGTGTCCCAGCTCCATTATTATTAACTTTCTTTATTTACTAGTTCCAGCATATGTTTGCTTTCTGCCTTCCATGTTACTGTGAATGTGGCACCATAATTTATTATCTTCAGGCTCCTACAGCCTCATCTGGAATTAGAACATTGAAAATATCTGGAAATAAATTGTTCATTTACCTAAGTTCTTATAAATGTTATTTAGTTTTGACTTTCATTTCAAAATTTATATTTCACTGAATATTTTAATATCTTACCTTTATATTGATTTCTTAATCATATTAAAATATACATTATAATATCCTTGAGTAATATTAGCTGTCACTAGTTAAATCATTTTTTAAAACCACACACACACACACACACACACACACACACACTATTATATTTGTGGTGTTAGGGATTGAACCCAGGACTTCAGGACTTCATGTGTGCTAAGAAGCCAAGCACTGTACCACTGATCTACATCTCTAGCCTCTCCCAATCCTATCTTAATCTTAAAGTAATCTTAGAAGACTAAAGAAGGACCATGTACAAGACAAAACACAAAATAAAACCTCACTGGACTTATAATCGATGAAAAGGAAAATCAGAAATACAAAGTTTCATTTTTATTCTTCTGTTCACTCAGCTGCTGCCCAGTTCTAATTACAGGTCAAATAAGTGTCTCGGCCTGAGGACTAGTATTTATTTCAGTGTACCCTGGTTTCCAGAGCAAGTGTTAGCAATCCTCAGGTGTCACAAAGCACTAATCATGAGAATTCCTGGCAGTCCAAACAAACAAGCAGACAAAACCTTGGGGGGAGGAGAAGCATAGGAACAGGAAAAGAGTGGGAGGAAAAATGAAGATGCACATCCTCAAGTGCTACCACTGACTGGCTCTGGAGAACCTTCTTGGGCTCAATTCCCTTTCCTTGTATTTCGTTTGCACTGTTCTCAGTCACCTTCTCTATGCGCTTCTGATGTTTGGTTCATAACAACCGGTAATCTAGGATCCTCTTGGAGATGTTTGGGGGCTTCATCTTGATGGCTTCATGTCTCCAAATATTTTGAAATTTTAGAGAAAAGATGCTAATTCAGGAAAATAAATCAAATCCTTGTCTTGTTCTACATCTTTAAAATAGGTCAAACTATCTTTAAAGGGGATTATATGTCTAGACCTGCTTGTTTTTCCCCTTAAACATTAGAATTGATTTTCACACTATTGAGTGCAAGTAAGATGGAAGGTCAAATAAATTCTACTCAGGATGAAATTCCTGAGAGTGTGTGCATCATGGACACTGGAGGCAGATAGTATAACTTGGAATGCTGTTTCTTTACCAGCTGTGGTATCAGACAGTCCCTCTTTGCTTCAGTTTCCTTATCTGTACAGTGTGACGAAAAATGATACTAGCACCCATTTGAAGATTATGTAAGGACCAAGCACGTTGAGCAGTTCCTCATCCATAGCAGATGCCCAGTGTGGGTGAAGTGATGGCCATGATGGCCAATAGGGAGAGACTGTGCAGCACACTGACTGAATGCACAACTCCAGCTCCATCAGATAAGCTCCCTGGAAAAAGAAAAAGGGGTATAATAATAATCTTTCTCCAAGAGTCATGACACATACCAAGTGACTTGATAATTATAAAGCTTAGGAAAGGTCCCAGTACCCAAGGGCTGATTGATAAGCACTAACTAGCTGTTATTTATCATTATCAGTATTATGCTCAGTAACCATTACTACCCAAAATAGTTTTTAGTGATTATGATTTAAATGTACATTACATTACAAGCTGCATAAGTCTGAGTATACATATACTCTTAATTATAGTTTTTAATTCTCCCAAGCAAAATCTTGATTACCAAATTGGAAGGTATTAATACATCTAAATCACTATAATATCAGCTGGCTTATTTCCCTTGTAAATCATTTAATAAATTACATTTGCATGAACTCATGAAAGGATGAAAACTGGGAACACAAGCAGAAATTCATCAACAAGAATGTAGCATGAAAGATTTCAAATTTAAATTTTCTTTAAAAATATTTGATAATACACTTTTATTTCTTCCCTGCACAGTAGGCACACTGCTGTAATAGGGGTCACTGCACAAGGTAGACCATGCCTTCAACTACTGAAGCACGAGACAAACTGAGAGGAGATTTGACTTAGCTTCAAATAATGAAACAAAAAAAGCTTGTGCTGGCACCATCAAGCATCCAAGAAGGGGGGGGTGGAATAGTAGAAGAAAATGGGCCTGATTTGTGATTACTTACTCTGAAAGGTTAACAAAGCATTAACCAAGTTTTATGTATGATTTCTATCTTGCCTACAGTAAAGTTGGATACATGTATTTATGGAGTTTTTTTTGGATATTTAGTTAGTTAGTTAGTTAGACAAGTAAGCTTTAGCTAGGTAAGCTCTATAAAATATTACATCAAAGAACCTAAGTTACAAGCAATTCTTCATACGCATTCTTAGAACTCTAGAGTATATCTCTACATTCGGGACTGTGACACACGCAAGTTACAAAATGTTTAAAAACTGTTGATAGAACTTCAGAAAGCTATAATGACACCTGTGCTTATTTATTTATTTATTTATTTATTTATTTATTTTGGTCATAGCCAAATGCTATAAATACATATAGAAAAAAAATGCTCAGCCTTTACACAGAGAAGGAAGGGAAAGGAATTCAAAATTAATTTTACAGAGGGGCTGAAGAGATGGCTCAGTGGTTAAGAGCACTAGCTGCTCTTGAAGAAGACACAGAGTTGGCTCCCCGCATCCACATGGCAGCTTACAACCATCTGTTACTCCAGTTCCAGAGAATCCCATGCTCTTTTCTGGCCTCTCCAGGCATTGCATACGTGTGGTGTGCTTTCTTACATACATACAGGCAAAATACTCATACACATAAAAATATAAATAAATAAAATGTTAAAGATATTAACTTTACAAATGAAAATCTTCATGGGAAAATATAAACCCAAACAGAAATAATTGCTTAGGAAAATCCCCTTGGAATTAGAGACATATGCATTGAGGAAATGTGTTAGGAGAGGGCAGATCTCAATATAAACATGTTGACCCATTGTGCAGGTGTGCTTATGTGGCTGTCAGATAAAATGAAATTACTCTTGGGGGCTGTGCTTTTATATTAGGCAATTCCAGTCAGCAAACAGATGGAAGGACAATATCCTCCTAACAAGAAACGACACAGAAAACAGGTGATGTGGTTCAGCATGCCAGGGCATCTCTGTTTGCTAATGCTCACATCAGCCACTCAGTATATGCTATAGTTCCAGTTCACTGTCTTCTGTAAGGCCCTGCCTCCATCTCAGGCTTCTCTAGGCTTAACTACCATCAACCTCCTTCTGGCACTAAAAATAACTTCACTGCTTTCTGTGCCCTTGATTCTGTCACTGTCCCATTCTTTCACACTTGCAGCTCAAACCTGTGGTAAGTATTTCACTGCTAAAAAGATCATGTTAGTGGGCAAAGGCTTTTATTTTATGTTGCTTATGTATTTGGTACAATATTAGTAGGAAAAACTCTTTATGTATCTTTAACACACATAGGAAGAAATGAAATGTAAATTGCTATATGAATAGTAAGAGCAGAATATTAGTGTGACGTACATATCTAAAGAGTCATAATTCCAAGAAAGGTATAGTCAATTTCAATCATAAATTTTATATTGTTAATATCAAAATCACTTAAAGAAAATCTATTATTCTTGGCAAACTATGTCATTTAATTTCTTCTCTTTTCCTCTCTTTATTATTATTTTTTTCTGAATTTAGGCTGTGAAAACAGAACCTGAGAAGTCACAACCAAGTGAGGTAAATAATTTAAGTCTATGAGTGAGTTATTCCAATTATTTGTATTGTTTTAAATTATTTTCTACCAGATGAGGCCATATTAAATGTAATTACCAGAAAAGGAAGAAGGCCTCTTTGCTAATGCTTGACTTATATTTAAGGAGCTGTAGATGTCTTTTTGTTTTTTGTTTTTGTTACAGAATTTCATAGATGAATACTGTGTTTACATCATTTCTACTCTCCCTCTCCCCTCTCCAACTCCTCCCATGTCCCCCCATTGCCTCTCAATTTCTCGTCCTCTTTATTATTGTTACATATTATCATCTGATGCTTTTTAATAATAATGAGTGAGTAATTTACTATGCTGCTATTATGATAAAGAGATTTGGCACCTAATTTAATTAACTTTGGACTACTCATTAGATATGATTACATAGGATACATATAAAAATTTACAACTTTAAATCCACTCATTGTTAAAAAGGATATATAATATCTTATGAACAAAATTGTATTTCACAAGGTATTTCATTCAAATCTAGATTTTAATCAAGATTTTTTAATTAAAAAAAAAAAAGGAATAAAGGAGACAGGACAGGCAGGCGAGGCGAGAGGGCTCAGAAGGTAAAGGTGCATTCTGTGCAAGTATGACCAGCTGAGTTCAACCCTAAGAACCCGCAATAGAAGGAGAGAACCAATTCCCCACAATTGTGCTTTGACCTCCACTTCAAGCTATGGCATATTTGTTACACATACATACACCACACACACAGACACACACACACACAATTGTTTTTAAAAGTAGAAAGAACCAAGGGTAGTGAGTGTCAGTTATAGCTCCTGTGAGACATCAGGAGCAGTGGGTGTTCTGAACCTGCCCCAGGTCTGTGGTTGACAGTGGGTGGGTGAATCTTGACAGTCTTATCTAGGTTATGAGCTGGTTATGAGTTATCTTATCCAAGGCCCTTCCCTTGGAAATAGCTGCCCCTGCTCTCCTGACTCATGGCTATCCAGTCTGAAAGTCCTTCTGCCTCCATATGAGGTGGATCCCAGGGTGTCTCCAGCAGCACAAATCTTTCTTTTTGGTAAGTGCTGCTCTTTTTTCAAGTGTTTAAATTTTCAAGTGTTTAATTTTTTCAAGTGTTTAAAGGAATACTTAGACACTTAGATAAGAGCACCTGAGTTTTCCGTAGAGAAGCAGAGATAAGGATGAGGTCATAGGGAGTAAGGTCAGGCTTATCTGTCTGATTTTGTGAAAGGCCTGTTGGTAGGCCCTTGGAATGATCTTTGTGTAGTGGATTCTAGAGGGAAGAATTTAGCAACTAAGTGAAAGTTGTCTTCTCTTCCACATTTGAATGTTTTTGGTTTCTCTACTAAATGTCAAGAGAATTGGACGTTTGGTAATTCTTAGAAAAAAAAAAAAACAGAAAATTCTTTGAGGCAAATTACAGCTTACTTCATTTCCTATGGAAGAAGACTTTTCAAAATGAATTTCTAGCATGGGATCCCTGTTTAGCGTGTGCAATGCTTACCTTGATCTTTCAATATCTCTGTGGATAGCAGTTGTTGATTTATTTTGTGACTTGTAAAAAGCAGCCAGGAATGTAGAGCAATGTGTTGCATCTCAGAAGACATGATTCTGAATGAAAGACTCAACTTTTCATTTTTCTGATGATTGCCACTGATGGAGACTTTTAGTCAGGTCACCTTTGACCACACAGTGAATGCCTGCAGCTTCTCCGGAGGACAGGGTCATTTCCTCTTATTTGTATTCTTGAGCCAATTTGGAAAGATGAAAACAGTAGATTCTAAATTGGTAATTCAATTTTTAATTCTTTGAAATTAACAGCCATCCATGGTTCATGAGAAAAAGTCCCAAGAAGGAAAGCCAAAGGAACACACCGAAGTAAGTGATTATCAATAGGAGGCGATCTTATAAAGTGATGTCTGTTGGTGAGGTGTGATTAAAATCACTCATCCTTTGAGACAAATTTGTTTCTTCAGTTAAAAATGGTGCCACCATGTGGCAATAATAGTGTCTGCAGTTTACTCAGGTAGTTCTTACTGAACATTTTGGATTTGGAAATTTTGTACATAAATAAAATTTTACTGTGGTTACATCACACTAAAATTTGAAGTTTGTATAATTCAAAACCACAGAAACCACAACTATTATGTATACAGTTCTTATTCTGTAAAGAATCCATCTTCTGTTTTAAACTGCCATCATGTTAACAGTGTGTGTGTGTGTGTGTGTGTGTGTGTGTGTGTGTGTGTGTGTGTCCTTTCAGCCCAAAAGCCTTCCCAAGCATGCATCAGATATAGGAAGCAAGCATGCTCACAAAGAAAAAGCTGTTTCCAGATCAAATGAGCAGATGGTGTCAGAGAAATCAGCAGAACCAAAGGTAAATAAAGCAGCTGGGCAAATATGAAATCACTGGCATCAACTAGCTAATAAGATACAGTTCCCTATTCACAGTGAGGTGTGCAACTGAATCTATGGGGCTATGCTGGATGTATTTTGCATTGTAATGACTTGGTGTTGTTGTTTTGTTGGTTTTGCAAGTAGCATAGTAGGAACGCGAGATTATGGAGGGCCAGAGAAAAGCATCAGATGGACTTAGGTAAATGTTCTCTCCTGGCTTCTCATGATGTTCAGCAGGGATCAGCAGGGATGACCACAAGGCAACAGGCTCTGGTGTTGCCCAAGCATAAAGCTTGGAATTGAGGTTGCCTTCAAAGCCCCTCTAAATTTGGGCTGGGATATTATAGGTGTCCTACATTCTCTTTTCAGATTCTTGCTTCCTCTCTGTCTCCCTCTCCTTCCCCTCCTTCTCTGTCTCTCTCTGTTACCCCAGCAATGAACTCATGGTCTCAAACAATTCTTCTGCCTTAGTCTCCAAAGCAGCTGGGACCATAGGAATGTACCACCATGCCTGACGTGTCTGCTTCTTAACACAGAAGCCCTGAAGCAGTTTTGTGGAGGAGTATATAAACTTATGGAATCTAAACTCAGAAATAGAATTCCATTGAAAGTATTTGGAAGACAAATCTAGGTCTACTTTATGGGGCATTTTATATCAGAGATCATAAATCTGTGACTAAGCAGTTACTTGTGACTCAGCATTTAAATGGAGCCACATGATGTGTTTGTTTAGCTTATAGTCTAGTCTAAAAAATATCTTTAATTAGCTGCTGGCAACTGAAATCAGAATATTTCACATAAATTCCCCACCTCTAGCTTCTATTAAAATCCTCATACCTGGTGAAATAGGATCACACGGCAACAGTTGATTCATGCCATCATATCTGTCCTGTGGGCTCCGGTTTGGTGCACTGAGCCCATTGGTTGCATGTAATGGTGTTTGCTTTTTGCTGTTGTTGTTTTTAAATTTTGAGACAGAATCTTCCTGTAGCCCCAAATGGCCTAGAACTCACTATATATACCAGGCTGGCCTCTATATCACAGAGATCTGCCAGCATTGTACTACAGCATTGTACTACATGGAAGCTGGTATACTCTCTTCTACCATGATGTCCTTGACAGCAAACTGGCAAGTGTTGGTAACATTTGAAACTTGTGATCTTGATAATAAAGACTTTGTCCTGTCCCTCTTTCATCTTTTATCCTCACTCTCAGACTAAATCACAAGATACTACCTCTGCTGGTGGAGAAAGTGTCGCTGGTGTAGCTACAGCTGCAGCATCTGACAAAGCAGATGACAAGGTGAGCACACATGACCAGACACAACAGGAGCCTCGATGCTAATCATGCTTCTGTTATCAGAAGCATGTGCTCAGATATCCTGTCATTTACAAAGATGGAACACTGCTTATATGCGAAATTTTGTGAAGAAGAGTGTGTTTGAGGGATGTAAGGTGAACAAAATACTAAAATGATTTTGACATTTACAGAGCAAATAAATACTTATTGGGCACATTATATAAGCCCTAGTATCAGTGCCAAGGAAATTAAAATGTGAGTTGCCTCAAGACCTGACTTCCAGATTTATAAGTATAAAATAAAGCACATAAAATCTCTATGAGCTTGTAAGGGAAGCATTCCACTCAGCTTGGAATGTTCACAACAGCTGTCTTGATAAATCAGTCACAGCATTGACATGAGCTGATTTGAGAACTACAGCAGACCCACACAGCATGAGTAAGATGTGGTGCTCACCAGTCCCAGGAACCTTCCTTAGAGCCTTGGAAGAGCTACAGATGCCAGCTTGGGAGAGTGTGTGAGAAGTAGTTTAAGATTTCTACCCATGGCATTACAGAGTCAGCCATCAGTTTGAGGATCATGGAGTCACTTAGAAGCTAGAAGTAAAGGATTAAAACAATAATAGGAAAATAGAAAAGAAAATAAAAAAAAAGTAATGTGTGCTTTCCTATTCCTGCTTGTCAAAGTAGGGATGAGGTAGTCTATGTGGTAAAGAAAGTCACAAGACAAAAGTGTGACACACGCATCACAAATATCTTGCTTTCTTGGGCCTTAGGAGATCAGGGACATTATTTAAAAAAAAAAAAAAAATTTACATAAAAACCCAAGTATTTTTTTCTTGCAATAGGTTATTGTATACTCCCTTGAGACCCCACCTCACCTCTGCAATCCATATCACAGTCTTGTGCCAGTGGGGTGTATTTGCATGAAATAATTTGAAAACAGATTTAAAGCCAAGGACCAGATATTAGAACAGATTTTAAAATGCACTCAAAATCTGAAGTTTTATGTTGTGTATAAATTAGCCCATGTTTCCAGTAAACACTACATGATCTCATAAAGAGAGGCTTGTGTGGAATCCTGCTGTACGATTGCTTGTTTCTGGAACTTGCTATAAATTCTTTGACTTTACTTTTCTCCTGATTCTTCTCCCACTCAAAAGCAGTGATCAGATCTGTGTAGTTTAGCATGTAGCAAATGTGAAGCACTGTGGTTGACTGTAGAAAACACTCGCTACAGGTTGGCCCGGTGACTGTTGGGAAGAAGATGAAATGCCTAGGACTTTGATTCAAGGCAGATTAAGAGAGGCCCCAGAGAGAAGTGTTTTGTAAGGAAAGGGTGGGTTCTGCCTATTCAGGGAATCCACGTGAAATCACAGGGAATCACGTCAAATGAAGAGTAGCTCTCATTTGAGGTAGGCATGGAAGGACACTGGGATTGCAGGCTTGCAAACACTTCAAGGTTGAATTTTTGAGATGTGTACTGGACAAAAAGCACACTGCAGTGTGGAGGAAGCACAGTGAGGCAAGAGGTTGCAGGAAGACCAGAGAGACAGGTTAAGGCTGCTGGGGAGAATGCTAAGGTGAGCTTGGGGAGCCACAGGGAGGTGGAGGTTGCTAGGGGCTGTTTCATTAGTGCTGGTGAGTCATAATGTAGCCTGACTTAGAGCCATAATAGAGGAACCAAAGTGGGGCTAGTCAGGAGGCAGAAGTAAAACCTTCAGTTTTAGAAGATTTTTGGCAAAGGGGCAAAGATAAAGTACACTATTCCCAGGCTCTAGGCTCTGAATGAAGTAGGTTGAAAACCCTGAGGTGAGGCAAGACAGGTGCCACTGCACAGCAGTTTTGGAGATGTTCACTGTGAGGTCTGTGCAAGTTCACGATCAGCACCGAGAGTGAGCACCTCCTTACTGGGGAGTAGGGGCCTTGCTGTCCCACCCCGAACCTTTGCTTACCTTTGAGAAGTAGAATGAAGTCTCTAAAAGAATTGTGCTCCGAGGAAAATGGATGTACCTGATTTTGGATAGATTGGATTTAGGTGTTTCACAGGTTCAAGGCAATTAAGATAATGTTTGGTGTTCAAAAGAATGGAGGAGGTAGAAGAGAGGGGCAGAGAAGGGAGATAAAGGAAGAGAGAGAGATAAGGGAAAGATTGAGAGAGGGAAAGGAGGAGGCAGGTGGGAAGACATCATAGGTGCATGTCTGCATCAGGTAGTAGTTGAGTCCTGGCAGTGGTTTCATATGCCCAGGCTCAGGTTCACAGCCTGGCACAGTATTTTCAGTACCAAAATCATAGAAGGTATTTCTTTAGCACTTACTTATACAGAAAGTCCTTATATAGTGCTTACCAATTACCAACACAGGTTTTCATACTTTATATTCATTAACTTGTATAATCCTCACAACCCCTAGGTAGGTACCATCATTGTTCCAACATCCCTATGAAATCAAGGGATGGAGGAAGTAACTTGCCACATCTCAAGCAGCCATGCAAGCCTCTGCTGCTATGCAGTCTGACTTCTGCTGCCCAATATTATACATTCAGAAAACACATGGTCCTGGATGGCCTTTTTTGGGGGGTGGGGGGCGGTCTCTTTGAGACAGGGTTTCCCTGTAGCTCCATCTGGCCTGGAACGCAGAGAGAACCACCTGCCTCTGCCTCCCAAGTGCTGGATTAAAGGTGGGGGCCACCATGCCCAGCTAATTCTGGATGGTCTTAAACCCAGCAACTTCACCCATTAGATCCTGCTGAGTCCTGACAGTGTTTGGCCCCTGGCCCTAGAGAAGGATTTTGAATAGGACCACCAGCACAAGGTAGGAACATCCAGAATATGTGCAGTTGGTGGGATGGGAGAGATGACCAAGGTGGCAAGAGAGGGCACACAAACACCAAAGCAGAATCAGAATTGTGCTGCGCTGCGGCAGCAGAGAGAGGTGAGCGCAGACGCAATGATGCTCCCCAGGATCATCTTCAGACATGATCTGGACAGACACAGGAAGGCTGCAGATTGTTCTGGCAGTCTTTGAGAAAGAGATTGCTGCAATAATGAGATAGAGAAAATCTTAATTTGTGAAAATTGAGGAAGAATGATGAGATATCAAGGCAAGAGACACCGTGTTCTTCATGGGTGGGCAAAGACCCAGAGAGCAGTAGCTGGGAGCAGCTACCGAAGGAACCCACGTGGGTTGCAAAACCCAGCAGAGGACAGACAATCCTGGATTCAAATCTTGATTCTGTTCCATACTATGCAACCCAAGAGAAGTTACTGAATCTCTTTGAACCTTTCTTGCCCCGTCACTACATAAGATTAATATTTTTAAGCAGTTCTGGGAAGCAAATGGCACATACATCATACTACTCCAGTTCAAAGCAAGTGAGCAATATATGATCCAGGCTGTTAATATTAGAGTCAATTCATGTTAATTGTGTAACAGTGTTTCTTCATAAAGTTATGTGAAAGGAGTTTTTAATGTCTCACTAAACTCCCACCAGAAAAAAGAAAAGAAATCATTAGCGCCGGCTCTACCAGTTGAAGCCAAACCGGACAAGTCATCAGGAAAGGTATGAAGATCATGTATCAACTCATCGTAAGATTTTTGTGCTCTGTTCTGCATTTATCTCTGCCTGATTTCTTGTGGACAAGCAACATGGAAGGGGCAAAACTTAAAGAACCATCTTTTTTTTTTTTTTTTTATTTCATGTAAGATTTTTGTTGTCTTTTTTGCATTTTTTTCTTCCTTGTTTTTTTTTTTTTGGCAACATGGAAGGGGGAAGGGTTAAAATTCCATCTTTTTTTTTTTTTTTTTTTTTCATACATGAGTATTGTATTGGCATTATTTCCACAATGTCCAGTCCCCCTCTACCCCCTCCAACTCCTCTCATGTACCCCCCACTTCCTTTCAATTTATTGTCCCTTCTTTGATTATTATTGTTTTTATATATATATATGTATGTATGTAAATGATGTCTATAATGCACTGAATCCATTTAATGGTGCTCATGCGTACCTGTGTTTAGGGCTGCCCACCTGGAATTAGGTAACCTCTCAGGGAGCTAGTCCCTGGAGAAAACTGATTCTCCCTCCCTCAGCCTCCATTGATTTCCTACAGCTCTTCATCTAGAGGTAGGACCTCATGAAATTTCCCCCAGCCACCTTGACTTGTGAACTGGCTTTGCCATTATGCTGATCTTGTTAGACTGCCATAAGAAGGCAATTTCACTGGTGCAGCTTCCCTGTCGTGTCTGGAGTGCATTAACTAGCAGCAGGTGTTTTGTCCCTCTGGCTCTTAAGATCTTTCTGCCCCTCCTAAGGAGATGTTCCTTGAGCCTTAGGTGTAGCGGTTGCATTGTAGATGCAACCCTTAGGGCTGAGCACCTGTATTTTGAACTGCATTTGTGGAACTTGTAATAGTTTCCATCTGTTGCAAAAAGGAACTTCTTTGGTGAGTGGTAAGAGGTATACCTGTCTGTAAATATAAGGCTGTATATTTAGAATATAATTTAAAAAATTATGTTGGTCTAGGAAAGTGACAGAAATGGGTTTTTCTCTAGAGTCTATGACCTCTCCAACATATGTACTTGGCCATGTTTACAGTATTATTCATGAATTCCTTCCTGTTGAGTGGACCTTGATTCAAAGTAGACAGCTTGATTACCCCCAAGATAAAAGTGCCACTACTATGTCAGTAGAGATAATTTGCTGGACTGGTTATTGTGATTCGTAGGCTTCACAGCTGGGGTTGGACCATTGACTGGTTTTCTCCCTTGGCAGCTTGCATAGCACTTCTGATACTACTAGAGCTAGTCTTCAGGGAGGAGGCGTCCAGGTCAGCTCTAGCTCGATTGCTCCGAGTCTATTTGTTTTCTTTTTAAATTTTTAAATTTTTTGTTTGTTTGAGACAGGGTCTCCGTGTTACCCAGCTGACCTAGAACTCACTATGCAGACTCTGTTGGCCTCAGTCTCACAGAAATGTGCAGCCTGGGTGCTAGAATTAAAAGCCTGTGCTACCTTGGCGCAGTTTTTACTTTTTACATTTAAAAGTTTTTGTATCATTTGAATTCTTGATCTTAGACATTCTGACTCGGGTAAGATGAAATTTTAAAGCACATTTAATTTGCATTTTTCTAATTACTAAGGATACTGATCATTTTTTAAAGGTATTTCTTAGCCACTTTCATTTGTTCTTTTGAGAACTCTCTGTTCCAATCTGTAGTCCAGATTTTAATTGGGTCTTATGCCTTACAGAACCATCTTAATGACATACTGTTTTAAGAAACAGTTGGATCCTATGAGTTTGGAAGTGTGGCCTTCACACTGTGACATCTTATGTTACAACCCTCTGTTTTGAAAGCTCCAGTTTCACTCATGGAGTTTATGTAGTTTCTCTCCTGGAAACACACCCTCTTTACTGGTATGCATGGCTGCTTGAGGCTTGGCATTTCTGTTCTTTGGTTTCAGACCATGTGACAAAAGGACAATGATGACCCACCTCAGAGTTGTGAGGGTTCTGTAAATACTCTATTACTTCTGTATTGCTAACAAATATGATACTTCTTTATTCTGAAATCCATCTGCCCTCCCCAAAATAAAACCTTAACAATAATAAAAAACTTTAAAAAAAGTCTAAAACTAACAGACCCAAATTTCTATGATGTATGCCAACAATTGTGAGAATATGGTAGTTTAAAAACAACTTCAGCAATTCTTTTTAATTTGAGGTATATGATAGAAGGTCTTTCCCTGGCTGCTGTTTTCCACTTCAGATGCAAGTTACTGTTCACAGTGAGTCATTTGTACCGAAAAGTAAGGTGTCAGCAGCCTTGAATTTATTATCCTAAGTTAAGCTCATGTTGACAGAACAAACTGTCAGTTCATATAACTTTAACATCGATTTCAGATAATTTTTGTTTAGAGCCATCTTTGGGCAAGCAAGTAATAACAACAAAACTCATAAAGAAATAAAGGATACAGGGAAATTCATTTTTTAAACAGCTTCTATGCAAGAGGTGCTGTCTAGAGATTCTTTTGAGGTTCTTGGTATAAAACACTGGAAAAATATTAATAACCTTAAGGACCAAATACCATGTTGCTAGTCCTTGTATTACTTTTTCTCTTTTGTCCTTTTTAGCTGCCAGTACTTTGTTTGGGCAGAGCTAATGAATTAACACATTTGTTCATGTAGTTAATGACTTTACGCTTTTTGAAATGGCGATTCTTAACAGAATGCATCTTTTTATCTTTCCATCTCAGAATCTGAACTCTGGGTCTTCAATGATAAAGCTAGACTAGATTTTAACTATTTTTGAATTTGGAAAACTTACAGTGTTTGGTAGTTTTTTGTAGTCAAAAAATCAAGTGAATTATATCTAACAGAAAACATTTAAATATCTGTTCTCTTTCCTTTCCAGTCAGGCATGGATGCTGCTTTGGATGACTTGATAGACACGTTAGGGGAACCTGAAGAGACTAATGTTGATACACCATATACTGGACCAGTCGTATTGGTATGTGATCAGATGTCAGTTAAAATTCTTCCTCGGTGGGTAGGAAAGCAAAGAAGGCCATAGCTAGTAAGCACAAGAGGACAGCTAGTGTTCTGTTGCTTGTACAGAAGCAGGATGGTGTCAGTATTGGTAGTAGCAACCAAATATTAATGGTGAAGATGAAAATGGCTTATCCTGTGACAGCTACACAAGTGCACTGGTTCAGCAAACATTTGATTGGGCTAAGATTGCAAGATTGTGCTAGGAAGGCACCATGTAGGTCAGAAAGTTTTGTTTTCCCTCCTTTAGATTTGAGTGCAGTGGACTTATTTTTTCTAGATCCTTGTACTCTTGAGTTGCCATATATTCTTAATTTAGGAAAAAAAAGCAATACAATTAATTATGTTTTTTGATATGAAAATATGCTAGAGGTTAGATGAAAATATTTTCAAAAGACTTAACAAAGAATTAGTTTCAGCAGTTTATAAAGAATAGAAAAACAGAGGAAAAAGAAGATAACTCAGTAGAAAATTAAGAGAAACTTGTTTGGATAATGAACAAGTACCATGAAAGTCTTCCAGGAAATCAGAAGAAAATGATCCTATAACATGGGAGTGGTGCCGTTTTCATACCATACTGGCAAAAGTATAAAAGTTGACAGTCAGCCTTAGCTGCTGGGTACTGAGAATATGTCCCCTTCTTGCAGGGAGGGAGCCTTGCCCATGTACACAAAGAATGATAACTGGAAAAACATCTTGAAATAATTTTGGTCAACAGAAGACAGGACACTATTCAGGATTTCATAGTGGGAAAAATGGAATATCATGTATCAAAATGGATACATTACAAACTCATAATTTTGAATAAAATAAATCAGTGATAAAATAATACTATCTATATAACATCTGAAAATATTCAAAGTAATGCTGATGTTAATGAATTCCTACATGTATAATATTTTTAAAAATACTCCATGTTTCTAAGAAGAAATAAAATTACATATCTTGCTGTTAAAAAGATAGGCACGGTAGCATATCCTTAATCCCAGCACTGGAGGGGCTGAGGCATGCCAATCATTATGAGTTCAAGACTAGCCTGATCTAAATAGTGTGAGTTCCAGGTCAGCCAGGGCTGCATAGTGAGACTGTGCCTCAAAAAAAGAAATTATGCATCATAGATTAGATGGAAACATTTTCAAAAGATGTAACAAATTATTTCCAGATCTTATAAAGAATTGAAAAACAGAAAAAAAACAACTAAATAGAAAATGGTAAGAGATGATGAACTTAAAATGCTGGGTAGTGTCTCTAAAGCCAATTAAGTGTTGGCATACAATTAGAACTTCAAAGCTGTGTTATGTTTTAGTTTCTTAATGACATATTCATCTCTATAGTTCCAGAAATGAGTACTGGAATAGTACGTAGGTTTAATATAATGTTCTCAGCAGATTAATTGAATCTATGTATCTTTGTCTAGGATCCAATGGATTCTAAATACATTGAGGAACTGGGTAAAAGAGAAGTGACTTTACCTCCGGAGTACAGGAAACTTCTAGCTGTAAGTTATCTTTCTCTTTTATTTCACCATTTCCTTCTTCAAATATAATTTCATATCCATATCAAAATTTAGAAAATTGGTGAGGACATATGAAGCTGTCATTGCCAAGAAGCTCACTCTGTGTTAGTCTTCTGGAGCTGAAATGACAGAGTAACAAAGACTAGACAGCCTAACCAAGAGAAATGCATTGTCTGGTGTTTCTAGATGCTGGAAGTCTTAATCAGGGTGTGGGCAGGGCTGGCTCCTGAGGGCTCTGAGGGGAAGCTCTTTTCTAGGCCTGTCTGTGATGTCTTCTCCCTGGATTCTTTCATATCACCTTCCTTCTCTGTATTTCTCTGAGTCTGTCCTAGTTTGTTCTTCATTGCTGTAACAAAATACTCTGACCAATACCAACTTTGGGAGGAAAGGGTTTATCTGGCTTACATCTCTCAGTCACAGTTCATCCGGGAGCCCATGGTAGGAGCTCAGGGCAGGAACCTGGAGGCAGGAGCTGGAGCACAGGCCATGGAGGAACTCTGCTTACTGGCTTGCTCCCTTGGCCCCTGCTCAGCCTGCTTTCTTATGCAACACAGGCCCACCTGCCCAGGGGTGGCACCACCCACAATGGGCTGGGCCCTCCCACATCACTCATCAAGAAGATGCCCTTCAGACATGGCCACAGGCCAGTCCAATAGAGGCAATTCCCCGACTGAGGCTCTCTCAACCCAGGTGTGTCAAGTTGACACTAAAGCTATCCAGCACAGAGTCCAAATGCCTACTCTCATAAAGACATTAATCCTGCTGGATTTGGACTCATACTGATAATCTTGCTTTGCTATATTACTCTATCAGTCCTTTGTCCACATACCATTCTGAGGTACTTCAGGACTTCAGTGTATGAATGAGAAGGCACACAATTTAGTTCATTATACACTGAGAATACATTTTTCCAATTGTAAGAATTAATTTTGCCTTCTCAACCTCTTCAAATTAATTTTTGTTTCAGAAAAAGGAAGGGATCACAGAACCTCCTCCAGATTCTCTGGTGAGTTTGTCTAAATGTCTTCTAAGAAGGAAATCAACACTTTATTTGGGTGACTAGAATTACAAACACTAAACTGGGCCTGGTGGTGCAGTTCTGTAACCCCAGAAAATTTGGAAGCTGAGGCAAAAGGATTATATGTATATCCTGAATTTGTGTATATATATTATATTATATTGAATTAATTATATTATATTATATATTATTAAATATATTATGTTATATATATTACATAGTGCTGTTTTTGTTTTATGTTTTTTGTTTTTGAGGGGAGAATAGGGTCAAGAAGGTATAAGGATAAGATAAATGCTGATAACAATAACATGAGCATATGTAGGCACATGTAACTCCTTTAGAAGAGGGAAGAGGGGAAGATACCACTCCCTGTTACACACAGGCCTCCACCTTAGTTGTTTCATTAACATTTCTCCTTTGGAATCAAAGGTATGGCAAGAATATTCTTCCTTTGCTGGGATGCTAGTCTCTGTGCTTGTTTCTCCAGAAATCCATGGGGCCAGATGATGCTATAGACGCCTTGTCATCTGACTTCACCTGTAGTTCTCCAACTGCTGGTGGAAAGAAAACTGAGAAAGAGGTACTGTGTTTAGTGCTACTAAAGAGAACTTGCTCAAAATGATCTTGAATCTGAAAAGAACATTTTAGCTCTGTTTACCACAGACTCTTTCATCTGTAACTATCTTTTGTATTTCATTTTTCAGAAATCTTCAGGAGAGGTTTTGAAAGCTCAGTCAGCTGGGGTGGTCAGGAGTGCTGCCCCTCCCCAGCAGAAGAAAAGAAAGGTGGAAAAGGTGCTTGCTTCTTTAAATAATCAGGGCCCACCTAACAGCCTTCCTGACACTGGTTCTGTTTATCCAAATAATCCCACAATGAGGAGCATGTTTCCTCCCTCAAGTCTATGTGGGGTTCACAGTGAAGCCCTTGGGGGCCGTATTGATCATCTCTATGCAAGCCTGCATGTCTATAAATCCTCATAAATGCTCTTAGCATAGTCTTCCTGTTTGTGTTCCAAGACCACCTCACCATCTAGCTTTGTAATACACAGAGAAATTGTATTCTTGAAATGCAAAGTATTAAGCTCCTATTCCTAAAAGAGTGTGAGCCTTGTGGGTCATTAGAGGGATGCCATCATAGCTGTTTCTGTTCAACTCTTGTAACCACAGACAGCTATCGTCTAATTCTCACAAATCTTGAATGTTGATCCTGCAGTTGTGGGCTGGAAGGGGGCGCATGCGCCGTGTGGAAGCATTGCAGATAATGCTATGGACGGTTTCTATCAGAACTGCTTCTGTTTCTCCCCTGCTGGGGCGAGCAGTTTATTTTTATCTGGACAGCTAAAGGAACGGTGGTGCGAGCCACACCCTGAGAGTGGGAGTTCCTGTAACCCCATCCATTGTGCCTTCAAAGAAGCAGCCAGTTTCTGGCTGTGAGTTTAGCTGTTTTGCTGAAAGATAGGGCTTTCAGAAGTCATTTTTAGAGCCACATTTTTAGAAAAAGAAAAACAGGGTAGTACAAGTTTACTTACCTGAAGCTTTTATTTTGGTAAGGATATTTTATAACATAATTATACATATAACATAATCATACATCTTGCCTACGAAATAAGGGGTAAATTGTGCCCTAGAGAGTACTGTTGCTATAGGAACGAACGTCTTATGTCCTAGACCAAATTTTCATTCCTCGGTAAGTTCTTTTTCCTTTCTCTTTTGTTTAACTTTCAAATAAAATTTTCTACCTAAAGTAATTTCTCAACCTATAATTTATCTTCTAGATTTAAACTGTGTGTTTCACAATCAAGCAAATGGGCTGTTTAGTCTCCAAAGTTATGCCTTCTGTTCATGCACAGAATTTTTCATTTTTAACAGGATGCCATGAGTGATCAAGCACTTCAGGCTCTGTCAGATTCTCTGGGCACTCGGAAGCCAGATCCTGAGCTCGACCTCAGCAAAGTTAAACAAGTTGATGAGGTACTGACCCTGAACTTGATATGCAAATTCTGTCAGTCTGTAGCTCATAAAATCGAGTGACTGCCACTAGCTGAGAATTTTTGTGTGACTATTGTTTTGTTAGAATTTAAAATGAACTGTTCTTCATCTTGCCTTTCTTTCAGATTCTGGTTAACATAGGTATTTATTGCTGAGCAGTTAGCAACCAAGAAGAGTATTTGTTTTTGTAAAGTATCTACAATTTCTTAAAATTTTATTTATTATTTTTATTTTATGTTTATGCGTGTATTGCCTGCATATAGGTAGGTAAGTGCACCAGTGTTGTGCAATGCTGGAGGAGGTCAGAAGAGGCTGTCAGATCCCCTGGAACTGGAGTTACAGACAGTTGTTAGCTGCCATGTGGGTTCTGGGATTCAAACCCAGGTCTTCTGCAAGAACAACCAGTGTTCTTAAGCCCTGAGCCATCTCTTCAGCCCCAGTATCTACAATTTCCATGTTTAAAAAGAAAAAATAAGGCTGGGGGAGGAGCTTAGTGATCAAGTCTTTGCTGAGCACATGCAAGGTCCTAGGTTGGAACCCAGCACTGCAAGAAAACAAAAAAAAGGGGTTATGGGTATGTTGGCACACACCTCCAATCCCAGAACTTGGGAGGCTAAGACAGGAGGATTGCAAACAAGTTATAGAACAACCTGGGCTACCTGACGAGAAAAAGAGAGGGCTGAGTGAGACAGAGAAAGAAAAGAAAAGGAGCGTTAGTCTCCTTCACCAATGCTAAGGAGGCCCCTGACTAAAGAAGAAAACAGGAGCTGTGGCTGGGTGAGAACCAGTGGAGTTTGTTTGCTTTGGTGGATATCGTGAATTTGTATCTTCAGAAGAGTGCTGACACTTCTCCTCATAAGGAGGGAGGTGGCCATGGGAGTGTGGAATGATCCTTCTTTTATATAACTATGGGGAAGGAGGTTGAAATATTTATCACAAGTTGAAATAAATCAAGCCACAATCAAACACTTGCTGCCTGGAGCTCCTGCGCCTTAGAGTGTCTATGTGTCTCACACCCCCCAAGACCTTAGCAAGTCTTTGAGCCAGAGTTTACTGCCGGTTGTGTAGGAAAAGTGTGTTATCATTTTTGCACATTTTTTCAACTCAGTTCTCTGGGGGAAACGACAGAAGTAAGCTGTCTGTCTCTGACAAGGCAGAGAGTCCTGAAAGGAGATTGATGGGCAGCCTAAGACCTTGGGAGCCCCACCCTATCAGATCAGGGAAAGGGAGTTGACCAGTGCCCTGTCACAATGGCTCTGGGTCTGCTGTCTCTGCCTGTTCTGAGTTGTCAGGGAAGTACTGTCTCCCTCACTCCCAGGAATTCGGCCTGAGCTGGAGCTGGTCCAGGTCCACGATGGGCCAGTTTCTGTCTTCCACTTTCTGGGAGGGCTCACCTGTTACAGTGTGGCACAAGGAGCTTCATGATTGTGAACGAAAGGGAGCTGGGGAAACACTCCCTGTTCTCCAGGACCATGTAATGCACTGTGAAGTAAGGGGATTTGGGTCCCAACCCTGTGAGGTACACATTACTCACAGTAGCCAGAAAGGGGCCACTCTGGTCTCCAGGGAGGGTGGTCTGGGTATTGCCCTGGGTACGAACAGGAGGTCCGGCTGAGCTGTGATTCCGTCACCCAAAGGCTGTAGATTTCACTTTTGCCTCAAGCTTTTTACAGATAATTAGACTAATTTAATAAGACAATAAATGTGGGGAAAATATAAACTTGATGTAAGTCCTAGGCCAAAGAGTCTTAGAGTGACTAAAACCAGCTAAGTACATGTAAAAAGGTGACAAAAAAATAAAGCAGTGTGGGGTGCATGTGAATGAAATCGCTTTTCTCTAGAAAACTGTAAGCAGCTGTAACCAATATTTTAAGAAAAGAACTTTCTTTTTCACTCTTAAGTCATGCTAGTTTACCCCTATTGTTTAGAAAGTGTAACTATTTTCTAAGAAGACTTTCAATCCCCTAAATTCTTGAGCCAATTCCTAGAACCTGAAAGTGACTGTTTACGATCTGAGCAGTATGATGTTGAGATAAGGCTCCCAAAGGTCACTGTCATCATTCAGGAGTGTACCGCCGCCCCAGCACCTCCCACAGTAGGCAGCACCTGTGTGTACTATGGAAAGTTCCAAAGTTCCAGTCCCACTTCAAGTCTCATAATACAGCAAACCATAAAATGAATGTTTATTTAGCTTGTAGTGCTACCTCTCCCTATTTTTAGGTATGGGTATCTGGTCCAGTATTTTTTTCAATTTCTTAGATTTTCTTTTCAGTGTCTACTGTGTACAACCACAGTGTGACCATTTAAAAAACATAAAGAAATTTCATGCATGCTGTCCAGTGGGCTTTTAGGTTTGGGGTTTTAAAAAATCTCTAATACTAAAATAAAGAAATTTCTAGTGTGAAAAAATACAAAGCTCAAAGAGGCAAAGAAAGGCTCCAGCTATGTGTGTAACTGTCACTGTCTATAGCCTGAACATAGCGAGCAGTCTCCTTGAACAGATGGCCTTGATGTTCGTGAAGTCCAACTGGAGGCCAAAGACCTCACTCCATAGGCTCTAGTGGAATGAAACTGGAAATGTGAAAAGAGACAAAAACCTTTTCATCCTTTAATGAGAATTAGTCTCTAGAAACAATGAAAATAATCCCAGAACCTAGAGTAGTGCCTAACAGTGCTTAATAATTTTCAAAATTTAATCAAAGAAGTAGCCAGTCATTAGAGATCAGAGCCATTGGTTGAGGCAGAGACGAGGGCAGCAGATGAGCTTGAATTATCTTAAATGAATTCTGCCTCCCACCTTGGTTTATGACTTCAACCCATGCCTCAGAATAGATACAAATTATTGCATATTGTGGAATTTTGCACTACTCTTCAGTAGATTAAATTACAAATGTTATATACCAGAAGGCAGTGGTCTACTACAGAACCATGCTTTTATTTCTTACACATTTTAGTTGCCCATGGTTCAGTTATCTTGTAAAGTAAGTTCTAGTGTTATTGACTGGAGTCCTTTTAAAAGGTAAATCACTTCTCCAGGCATAAGCTACATCTGTTGTTGCCTATGTCTCCCATTTCTGAACTGGGTGGGAAAATTGGTTGTGTACTTTTCCCCCTCCTTAGATAACTGCCCCATTGGGCAAGAGAGATGAAAGCTTTTAAAATCATTGTGGCTAATATTCTGCACTGTGCTTACTGTCCTCCAGGGAGCCTTATTTACACTTGTCTGGTGGACCTCACAAGTCAGTGAGCTAAGGAAGGATTATTACCAGTTGTGTTTGCAGCTGAAGAGTCAAAACTTGAAAAGTACACATTTAGTGGCTTCTCAAGGCCCGGGAGCAGAGCCTGTGGCTCAGGACTCCTGGCTATGTTGTTTTTTCTTTGGCTGCCTGCTCACTGATGGTCTCGTGCTTCATGGTTTATAGAGCACTCCAGACGCTTTAATCCCATTCTGTGTTCTTCTAGAGTACACACAGTATGTGACACATCAGTTTATTTTTCCTCTCTCCATTTCTGTCAGGCAAAATCAAAAGAAGAAAAACTCGAGAAGTGTGGTGAAGATGATGAAACGGTCCCCTCTGAGTACAGACTAAAGCCAGCCACGGTGAGCACTTTGCTGTAGCGTGCAACAGCATGTTTATCTTGTCCTTTAGCATCATGTTTTGTGGTATGCGCCTCCCCTTGACAACTGTCAACACAGCTCTCCCACTTTAGGTATTAACTCTGAAAAGACTGGACTCATTTCCCTCAGCTCTTGGCAGCTAAGGGACCAGTCCCCTTGGGGTTGGCTTATCCTTGCACGACTTCTAAAGTAGCCATTGAAACTCCCACTGGGAAGAGGAAAGGGACATGCCCTAAAATATGAAATCTCATGTTCAGAAATTAAAGTGTTTTTTTACAAGAATGATATCTACCTCCACCTTGGGTAAGAGAATTGAGACTTTTTGTTTGATATTTTGGAAACAGGGTCTCGGATAGACCAGACTAGGCTCTGTAGTCAAGGCTGTCCTTGAACAACTGATCCTCCCACCGCCACCTACCAAGTCACTGGGATTACAGGCATGTGCCACCACACTCAGCTCAGGAGATAGGAGATTTTTTTTTTTTAATCTTCCATTAAGGGTTGGTAATGGGTAAAGGCCTTTGCTGCCAAGTCTGGTTATCTGAGTTGGATCCCTGCAACGCACATGGTAGAAGATAACCAACTCCTGAAAGTTGTGCTCTGACCTCAACATGCGTGCTACGGCATGAGCAGAAGCACACCCACAGGCAGACATGCACGAAATAAATGTGTTTTAAAAAATATTTTATTATTTTTATTTTATGTGTATGAGTATTGTCTGCATGTATTAAGTGCAGCCATTGTCATAAAATGCCCATGGAGGTCAGAAGAGGGTGTCGGATCCCCTAGAACTGGAGTTACAGACAGTTGTTAGCTGCCGTGTGGATGCTGGAAACCAAACTCAGGTCCTCTGCAGGAGTCTTAACCACTCAGCCATCTCTCCAGCCCTCAAATGTTTTATAAAAATATTTCTTTAACATAGTCGTGCATTAAGACCAGTTTTTCTTACTCTTTTGCCTTAGCTCACAGTGCATTTTTCAGCAACTTACAGTGAAAAATAAATGACCTT